GGGGGGGGGTTAGTTTGTTGGTTTTTTTTATAAAAGGTGAAAAAGTATTAGTACTTACACCATTTAATTTGTTCTGCTCCAGGTCTTCAGCTTTGATTCACTGTAATTGCGTTTCAGAATTGAAGTCTCTTGTGCTTATATTAATACAATTTTTCTCTTCAGTTTTTTTATTCCTAACAAGCAGATACATGCAGAAAAGAAACTAGATCATAGTACTAAAACTATAATCTGAAATTTGCAGAACATGGATGCTGTAATTTGCAACCAATTGAAATCTTTGTTTCCTAACAGTAACTATTACTTGAAAACTGTTTGTAGCATCATTGGCATGCAAATGTACCAACTAGCAAAATTTAAAAGGTGCTTAATAGAGCTTGACTGATTTTTATACTCTTCAGGTTTCTTGGATAATTCCCAAATGGTGGGAAGGTTTGTCAGAATATGCTGGAGGTCTGTACTTAAGTTCTGGAATTTAATCCTCCTCTGTTTCTTTTTTTCGTCTAGTCTGACTGATTCCATGTTTGGATATACTCTGTGCAGTGAGAATCCTCTTACTCTGAGCTAAAACTCACCAGAGTCCATTCCAACACTTGCAAAGACCTTTGGGTCATGTTCAGTTTTCCTCCAAATGGTTTTAAAGGATATGCCTTGGAAATTTACTTCCTCTGCAGATCAGGAAAACATTGAATGTATTCAGTATATCTGCTGCATGTGAGAGCCTTACTGAGTTTTCATGCATCTCCACAGCTCTCCTTTGTATTCTTCAAATGCTCAGTTTGCAATAAATTGAAAAACATTCGTACATCTTTGGGCCAAGAGCACTCCAAAACTTCTTGGGTCCAGCGTATCTAAATATTCAAGAGGGATGTCTCTGCTTCCTTTACAATCCAGATCTAATCTTCTGGTGTTTTACGGTTCCAAACTGAATGATCCAATTTAATATGGATCTGAGAAAGAGGGTGAGGCTGCTTAATGCCTGGGAATTTAAAAAAAAAAAAAAAAAAAAAAATCCACGAGGTAGAGTAACAATTTAAAAAAAGGAAAAAAAAATCCAACCAACCAAGCCATTGCTTTGGCTTGCACTTTATCTCACTGCTACCAGCTCTTTTTATACTCAGATTAGGCAGGCAGCATTTTGACATGGCCCAGACTGCATGTTCTTACGTGAAAAAGCAGCATTTTTAATTAAACTCGCTGCTTTTTTCATGGTGACAAGCCTGCTGCACTTTATGGTGTTATTCATTCTATTGAAAACTGAATTTCTTATATTTTTTTTCCCAACCAAGAGCTTTCATTCTCAAACTTATAATTTTCTTTGTCTGCAGTATTTGCTTTCGTTCACAAGAACAGTGTAATATTAATGTTCCTTAAAAGTTTTCCCTAGAAATTATGCATCTGATGATTTTTCACTTCACCCATTGCAGTGAGCCCCCTTTTCCCCTCCTTTCCATCTTCAGCCTAAGGAATGCATATTATCTAGTGAATTTAATCAATTAAGTTACATCAAAGTATTACAAATTGCAAATGTCATAACTAAGATTAATTCAATTATATTACAGCCAAATGTTCAATTAAACTATTAATAGGAATAATGAAATCAGAGAAAAACTAACCCACACTAAAACCCCTTTTGTATCCCACAATGTTGATAAGTAAAGCAAGCAAGCTGAAACACAGGCAGAATATTTATGTCATTGTGTTTATTCCACCCTTCAAACTCCTGATTAGGGATTAACAATGAAAGCATCATCTTCTTGGCTTCATTTTCTTTAAATTATATTAACTTTTCTTGGAAACATTTTGATATGACAGTGATGTTGCCAGTCCGTCTCTGCCTTTTGTAATGAAGTAAACAAACCCAAAACCGCTCTTAGCTGTGCAAAGGCTTTTGAGAAAAACATTTTGAAGGCTGTCTGACAGCCAGGGTAACTTGAACTGCCAAGATTCATTTTTCTTGGAGAATCTGGAGCAAATGCATTGCAAAGTTGTTAATTTAATGTTTTTCCGGGCTTAAAAGTTGATCCAACCCCAAAACAGTATTGATGAATCATAGGCCACAGACATTTCAACAGGGAGGCAAGGCTGAGCAAATATGTGTTTGCAACTTCTCTCCACACCTCCAATTTTTATAATTTAACAAATGTTTACTAGAGTTTTAATGATCTAATAAATAATGCCAAAGATGCCTATAAAGCTAGTTTTCTAAAGCAACTGGGGATGAATATTTCATTTAGTCCTTTGTTGTATCACTACTCAAAATAACATCTCCAAATTGCCTCCAAATATGGAGGAAATCATCACCAAAGGCACTGGGTGATGTTCCTGCCAGAGTCAACTTCTTGCTTAGGGGTCCAGGCACCTCCTGGCTTCAAGAGTGTTACATCACAGCAGCTTTCACTGGCTCCAGTGTGTCTGAGCAATTACTGGTGGTGTTCACTACAGACCTTCTCTAGTCACTTGTAATAGTGTTTGTTTGGGGGCACTGTGCTGTGAAAACGTTCTCTAGAGAACAGGCTGAGGTCAGGCACTCAGGTGTTCATCAGGGGAGCTGTTTCTGAGTACAGGCAGTGGGAGCCTCTTCTCTTGCTGGAAGCAGGAGGAGTGTGCTACCCTTTCGTAGGCTGCAAGAGGTCCCATCTGGAAAGGAGAGATGGAGCACCACACAGTGTATTGGGGCAGTCTCAGCCATTTAATTAGAAAGGTGATTTCCAAGTCCCACTCTCCCCACCTGTTCAGTCAGCCTAAATGTTGAGACTTTGAGGTCTGGGTTTCCAGGGATTCTTTCTCACACTTTCAGTTTTCAATCAAACAGGAGGTGGGGCAGTGGTATCCAGTAGATGCAGAAGAAGAGCTGTCATTCTGCATGTGTCATTGTATTTGCTTTTAAGCTGGTTTTGTGGTTTCAGAGGCAGCCCAGTCTTGACCTCTACTTAGGCTCAGCGCATAATTGCATTGTCTCTGCTGTCCACACTGACTGACACCATTCTAGAAATTGCTTAAGTGGCTGCAATCCAACTTCCCAGGACCTCTGGAGTATTTCCTGCTGAAATACCATTCTACACCCTGAACTGACCAAAGCCAGCCTTTGCTTAGGAACATTGCTGATATCTTATATCTTAAATACCTCTGGAAAACACTGGGCATACCCCTGGCAGCAGGGTTTTTTCCAGTTATTTTGAGGCACTGGTGCTGTCATCCTGCCACTGGCCAAATTCTATCTGCTGGTGAGAGTAGTTTTGCAGAACTGCTGGAAAGTGCCCAAGAGGACAGCAAATGAAAATCACACCGCCTCACTCTTTCCTCTCTGAAACAGGGTCTACTTTGCCAGTCGTTGGTTAAGTATTTCCACTCCAGTGCTGCTGTTTAGAGGATGACTCTTGGCCCACTAAGCTACCCAGAGAGCAAAAAAAAAAAAAAAACAACAACAACAAAAAATAAGGTAGGTGCCAGGGATGGTGGGAGAGGGGAAAATTTAGCTCTAGATGCCTGCTTGGCCCCATTTTCAGAACTTGTGCTTTAAATACCAAAATAATATTTATCTGAGCTGTAACTCAGAGGGGATGCCCACCAGCAGGTTTGCAACTGCTGCTTGGGAAGCACAGGAAGGAACACAATTTCCCAGACAACTTTGTGCCCATGGTGCCAGTTTTCACTGAGGTGTAACAGAGCAGGAAGCTGAAATTCTCCAGGCCTAGGACACCATTCAGAAAAAGTAAGCAAAGCAGCAGCATGCCTATTGGTGATCCCTGTACATATTTACCAAACCAGCCTCTTCTGAAGGGAAAACCCATTTATTAAATTCATTCTCTTCCTCCTTCTTTACTCTCCTAAGAATTGCTGCAGCCTATGTTTTTTAAATTGGTATGTTATTTGAGTGAAAGCAGTGATGGATCAGAGCTGGAGTTTTTTCTACTTCCACTTCAGATATTGTTTTAAAGATTCTTGCATTGATTGATATTTTGCAAAATTGTGTATGGTTCTCTCATGTGTAGACGTTAAGGCTGCAGTTACTTCATGCTATTTTGGAACTAAAGCAAGCTGCAGTGCAGCTATACCCGGTATCCTTGTTATTCTTTTATTCACCAGCAGAAAAATAATGGGAATTGTCCTCAAATAAACTTTTATTCTAGAGACCATTCCCACATGGAGATCACTCAACAGCCAGGAGTCACTGTTTATGAGACATTATTTTATTGTTTTAATGTGATTTCTTCTATTTAAAGTAGAAATCTGTGAATGAGAAATCAAAGAAAACTTTATTTCAGAAGCACCTGAATAAAATAGATTTGAAGCAAAATATTTTACTCAGCAGCTGCTCCAGAGTTGAGTAAATATTTTACTCAGAGCTGCTCCATAATATTCATGTTGCTGGCCATGAGGTCTGTGAAGCAACAAAGGAGTCCCTGGTGTGTTTGTCCCATGGGCATCCCTGCCTTATAAATTGCTTCAGGGCAGCCCAAAACTTCCAGCTCCTCCATCCCAGCTCTCTCATGGTGTCGAACCAAGACACATGGGAGCACTGGCATTTTTAGGAACCCTCTTTCAGAGTGTTATTACTCTAGAGGCAGGAGCACAGAGTGTGATCAGGTTCTGAACCTTGAATTCATTAACTAGATACCCAGGGATCCAGAAGAGTGTTCCAGAAATCAAAATCTCAAAGTAACTGTAGTAAAGTGAAATGTCAGACTTACATCCTTCATTACTTGTTGTAAGGTTTCTGCAGACAGCTTTTTAAATGATTTAGCTTGAAACAGAATTTGGATGCTACAAATGGGGAATGTTTACACAGTCTTAGACATACCAGGCATAGCTTTTTATTTGCAGAGAGATTTATAAAACACACCAATTACCTCCAAACATGACACAGCAGTATTGACTCTGAATCCTTCCAACTCATGCCTAGCAGGCTTGACTTTGATTTAAAGGGTAATTCTGAAGAATGGTTTCATTTGGGTTTTCTTTCCTGTAGTTAGGCTGCAGATATCTGACAAAAATATTCCTGAGGTAAATGTTACTACTCACAGTTCCTGTATTGTCACTGCAAATTATTCACCTTTGTGAACTGTGGGAGTGCCAAAAATCCATTGGAAATGATGTGAGCATTTTCTTACAATAGCATTGTACATCTAATTCCTCTCCTCCTGGTGACATTCTCAGATGTGTAAAGTGACTGGATCTTTTCCAGGCCATTCTGTGCAGCTTAGAGAAATCTTTCCAACAGCTCATTACTGAGTTACAGTAAGCACATACACTGATTACTGATTAGACTAATAGTTGGCTTGGACTATAACTTACAGTCTTTCCTATTTTGATTAAGATGCATGTAATATAGAGTGTAACAGCCCCACAATTAAACAGGTCCTTTCTTAGAAATTGGCCAGCAGGGATGGATGATCCCCATTCAAATTTTTTTGTTAAAACTTACATAGAGATGAGAACTGCAGTCTTAGTTTCTTTTTTCTTTTTTTTTTCCTTTTTTTTTTATTTATTTTTTTTTTCCCAGAGCTAAGGAATATGTCTGTAAACCTCAGGATATATTCATGTGTCTCTGAACTTTATCATTTTTGTGTGTGTTAAAAATTTGGATATAGAGCCAAGTTGTATTTACACTACACAGTAAGACTCAGAGATATAACAGTACTGATCTCTGTTGATATCAAGAAAAGGCCTGCAAATGCCACAGGACTGAACTCTGACGAATTTGGGACCCATTCATATAGTTTTGGAATTTTCAAGGGAAAATCATTGTCTTAAGGATAAGAATTCTACTGACTCCACAGTGTAAAGCTGCTGCATATTATCATTCTTCAGATGATGATGATTGAGTATATAATTTTATTTTTCAGACTGGAATGTTCATAAGACAGCTAGCAAGCCTGCTTCAGATTGATTGGACCTGCAAGAATGTCTTTCACCTATTTTTTGTTTCATGGCTCAGGACATATATATTCTCTTCATCTTCTGGTAGTTTTCATTTTGATTCTAGGTACAAATGAAGAAACCATCTTCCAGTAGAAAATCTGATGAGCCTGATATAATCTAAGGACTTGAACATCTAGTCTTGACTTCCCTGCATGGTCTCACCTCTGTATGATTTCCATCTGAGCTGGGTTTATGCTTCTAAGCTATCAATTCGGAGCAGACATTGCCAAGAAATTAGTTAATAATCTACAGGGGATGGGTGTCTCCTCCATTTCTGTTCTTTATACACAGTCCTGCGTTTTAGTGTTGTGTCCTGTGATTTTCAGCACACAGAATCCAGTTTTATCTTTGCAACAGTTACCTGGTTGATGATTTCCCATTGTTCTGGAGAGGCTAAATATTTTCTTCTCTCTCCTGAGACACATTTACTTATTATCTTTTCAAGCTGCTTCTTTGAGCTGAAATCCATGCAGAGGGTTTTCAGAAGGTCAGGTCTGGTTGGTTTTTTTAAATGCAGTATTCAGCTAATACCCAGTAGTTTAACATTTGAGATTTCTTTTTTCCCCTTCCACTCAGGCCTGCTCTAGGGCCATTTCTGTTACATTTCAGTCATGGGAATGCTGAAAATCTGGGGTTGTTTCTCAGTTTTCACCAAGAGTGGGTTGTGCTATGGGTTCTCATCAGATGCAGATGAGGCTTGCAGAATAAGCTCTCTTAAACTCTTCTGGGATTTTTAGGCCCTGGAAGCATCTCTCTAATAGTGTACACAGGTGATCTAGACACAAATTGCCTTTAGCTGCTTATGTACCAAGCCAGCCACTTTGATATCACAATATCACAGGCCAATATAGAGCCAGGTCTTGGTTTTAAGCCCAGCTGTCCTTGGAAGAGTGACAGCTTCTTCAATGGCAGGTTAAAAAAAAAAGAAAAAAAGAAAAAAATGAAGAAACAAAACCCAACAACAACAAAACCAACTACCAACAGACAGGTTTGAACTTTTGGGGGTGATTCTTGTTTTTGTTTAGTCATGTGAAACTCATTTCTTTAAGGTAAAATAAATTTGGGAATTTTCATCATCTGCAGAGCGTATAAGACTATAGTACATTTGGCAAGCAAATTTCTACTTCTAAGTCAAAAACTAGTTAATTTAAAGACCTACACAGGGGATCACAACTTGAGGAGGTAAAATGTTGCAGTGGTCTGTGTTTTCATGCTCTGTGATGGCATTTACAGTGCCCAGGAGCTGGATGTACCTGCTAGTGTCCTAGATGCTGGCATGGACAGATTTCATACATGGATAATCCTGGACTAGTTACTTTGATGTTGACCTAGAGAAGAGTTTAGGCTTGATTTTAAGTAGAGCTGTACTTGTGAATACAGCTCTGTGAGTAGGTTTGGCAGATAATGGCCTTGTTTTCCTCCTTCCTCTCCTCTTCAGTTGAATCTAAACTCTCAGCATCTAATGAGCATCTGCTTGCTCTTCTTCAAACTCTAAAATTTCAAGGTAAGTACAAGTTTGCCATCATGGGAACTTCTGGATTTAATGAATACTACTGACACTGAGACTGAAGCATCATGAAGGGAAACCCAGACAGACACTGAAAATATAAATTCTTTGTCATGTTAATATTCTTTCTCCTGCTGTTGTCCTTTTCTTTCCCCACCTGCACCTCAAACTCCCACCCCATAGAGGCTTCCTTTGTGCATGATTAGTCACAGCTCCTTCCTGCCAAAATAAACCTACCTACATTTTTAATGTTGTCATATCTGGGTGCCCTAAAATTTTCTCTGACTTTGTGTTTGAGCATTTCATTCCTTCTCATTTCTATCCTTCTTCTTGCTGGTAGAAGGTGTTACACATATTACACAGTGTAAGAGGCCAGGAGAGGTCAGTGAAAGTTGCATGTGCCCTTTCAATCAACTGTTTATTAATGATAGGTAATATTTTTGCAAAGCTGTGCTGAATATGAAATCTTTTCAGGGAAGCTTTAGAAATTGTGTATCTTTTATGCATTTTTCTTTGAAGAGTTCTATCCAGCAAAACTGAAATTACTAACAAAAATATTTCATCTTGTAACTCTGAAATTTCACACATCATGTGGTTTTGAAGGCAGTTTATGGTTATGAAAGTACTGCAGAGCTATGTTGCCTTAGAGAATGCAAGAAAAAAAGGCGCATATTTAACTTAGATAATATTTTCTTTTAAATATGAAAATTTCTTCTCACTTCCCTCCCAAGAAACAGCTCTGAGTGTTCCAATTGAATTGCAAATAGTACTTGGGCTGTAAGAGATGGAAAGTATTGACACAAGTAATAACACAGCTACAGAAGTCTTAGACGTAGACTATAGAAAATTAATTGTGTCCTCAATTGTAGATAGAAGTGGAATCTGCATTAACATTTTCTAATTCATACATCGTTTTTATCAAAGGGGCTTATTGCTCACAGGTCTTCCAAACATAGGGAATATGATCTAAGGTAATTGAGCCCTTCAGAACACAGACAAAAAGTCTCCTTGTGGGGGAGGAATATCCAATACAATCTAAGCAGCTCATGTGAGAGTACTGGAGACCTCTGGCTGTTGCAAGTCACTGCCAGATGACTGAATGGAACAGTCATCCAAGGGAATTCTTAGGCATGAATAATATTGCTGCTGTTTTTCAGCTGGGCCAAAGGATGCCAAAGAGGCATAGAATAAGCTGAGTTGGAAGAGACCCACAAGGATCATCAAGTCCAACTCTTTGTCCTGCACAGGAGTGTCCCAAGAATCACACCCTAGGCCTGAGAGTCCAAAGACTTCTTGAACTCTGCCAGGCCGGTGCTGTGACCACTTCTCTGGAAATCCTGTTCCAGTGCCCAAACACCCTTTTCCTAATATCCAACGTAAACATCTCCTGACACAGCTTCAGGCCATTCCTGACCAAATGGTCCTGTCACTAGAGATCAGAGGGAAGAGGTCAGTGCCTGCCCCTCTTCCCCTCACGAGGAGCTGCATGTACTTCAGACAGGGTGTGTGCATGAAAAATTGCTGCATTTAGTAGCAATTTTGTCTGGTTATATTTTAGAAATAGATGGGAAAATAAAATGAGAGACCAATGTCAGGAATAAATCTTGTGTTTTTCTGCACAGGATCTGCCATCTCTCCCAGGGGTAAGTAGAGATTTAGCTAGTAAGCAGTGGAGAGAGAGAGGTAAGTAAGGAATTACCCGGCATTGCCCCGAACTTAAAACCATCAGAGGTGCTCGGGGAGGGCGGTGCCGGGCCCTGGGACGCTCTCCAGGCCGGGAGCATCTCCCGTGGGGAGCTGCCGGGAGAGCTGGGTTTCTCTGGCCGCGCATCGCCACCTGGTGCCAGGCGGGGAGAGCAGCCCAGGACCCGTCCTTGCCACCTTGGTCGCTGCCAGGGCATTTTCCTCTCCGCTGTCTCCCCTCTGGCAGCCCCGAGTCCCTCTCCAGGTCCGGCCTCCGTGGGGAAACGCTGCTAAAATGCCCAGATAATTTCCAAGGGGTATTACAGGTATCAGCTGTGGCTAAGGGGTGTGGTGGTCTTGGGCTCAAGAATGGTGCTGGGTTTGCTGTTTTGTCCTCCCAGTTTAAGGATCTTTTTCCTCTGTTAGCTTTGAAGCTGGTCTTCTCTACTTTCATTCTGTGTCACCAAATTTCGTTTTTCCCTTATAATGTAAGGAAAAAAGTGGACTTGGTGATGTGAGAAATATAAACATATATATATATTAAAGCATTTGGTGAAGCATTGCTTAATGTTGGAACAGATCCCTTATTTTCACCTATGTGATATTTTCCTCTTTATAAAAAGGCATAAATGGTGTAAGAAATCAAGTGAAATGAAGAAAAATTGTCATTCTGCTCATGCATTGCAGATTGATGGCACATCAATTCATCAAGTGAATTGAGACAATCTGACTGCAAGATGCTCAGTCTGACAGGGGTAGGTGGCTCATTCCAACTACCAAAACCACTCAGAATATTTTTGCTTTGTTCAGAAAAAGACAAACATGCAAACAATAAAAAAAACAGCCCAGTGCTTTAGCATATTAAAATAAAGAAATCATTTAAGATTTGGCATGTCTAAGGGAATCACTAGAACCAGAAAACACTCCTGAGTTTTTTGATAAATAGAAAAGACACCTAAGACCTTAAATATAGTCGCTGAATGGTTATTTTTGCCGAAAGTATCTGATCTTTGAGAATCAAGGAAAAGCTCTTTTTGGGGTAAAGTAACCACCTGTTGGAAGACCAGCTGTGGGTATAAAATATATTTATACATTGATAATTGATTTTATTTACATAAAGAGAAGTATGAAAGATCCTGGTGTTTATTGCACTTCAATTTGAGCAAATTAATTACACTAATTAGAAAATCATCATGATAGTCTTATTGACAAGTAGCAACATGTTTTTAAAATACAGTAATGATTTTATTTTTATATTAGTTTTCTATTAGTATTTATTATGTTAAGTAAATAATAATTTAAAAAATTTGGTCTGAGCCCCAGAAAACTTCACATATGGTAAGTTAGCTATGACTACAGAGGTTTAGCTGGAAGGATTTCCTGGAAGTGCAACATTAGCAAATCTCTCTTAATCTGGCTGAACGTCCTGTAAACACCTGCCAGTACAATGCTCAGTGCCCACTGCAGAACCAGCTTAGAATAACGGTCAGTAATGTTTCTAACACCCTTTGGGAAATGAGAACAAAAGAAACCTGTTTGGACTAGTTGTATAAGCACAAGGCTACAACAGAAGAGAGTTGTATTGTGCAGAGGTAAACAAAAGAAAGATACTCTTGGAAGAGATTAATTCTAGACTCAAATGAACTAAGAAACCATCACCTGTAAAGAATATTATTGTTTGAAAGAGAGGTGCATCTGTTCATTGCCTGGAGGCACAAACAAGTAATATTGGTGGTCAAAAATCTGGTTATATAAATAAAAATAATCATAGAGGGAGCAGTGGGTAAAGAGCCATGGCTTTTCAAGAAATCTACATAGTATGTAATTTGTACATATACTTCTTAGTTCTGTATGTCCTCCATTATAATGAACTCAATTCATAAAAGTAACAAAAAGCCGAATTATTTTTCATTCCGTAACTTGCAAGTCTTAAAGTAATCAGAGCATTAAATTTCAAAGATTAAGAACTACAAAAGAGCTTCTACTGAATTAAAAGAGCTTTAAGTATTTGCAATTACACTCTCCTCTGCTTCTGTTTGCAAGTCTGCTTTTTATAACTAATTGGAGACTACTTTTTTCCTCCATACAGAAGAAAATAAGAGAAATGGCTTCTGTTAGATCCTTCATGATTAAAGGTGAGTGGGATGAACACTGTCCATGATGAAGAGTGAATCTGCTAAGTGAATGGATGATCACACACTCAGGGGGGCTCCTGGGTGAAGGTCATCAGCACATCATAGCTTGTCTTGCACTAGGGCACTTTTCTCAAGATCTGTCTCCAAACATTACAGAGGTTTAGTAGTTGAGGGAAAAAAGTCACTAAAAAAAAGTTTAAAAAAAATTTTAAAAACAAAACCAAAAAACCAAACAAAAACTCCTGCATGTAGTTTATTCAGCAAGTTAGTTTATTTAAATAGCTGAGCACTAGACTCAAGAAAACATTATTTCCTCCCCTTATTTCAGCTTAAGCTTGTAAGGATACAAGTAGCTACAGTTAAATTCATTAGACACCTTGTATTGTTTGATACCATCTTTTATTTGCATTAAGGCAGAATGTAAATCAGGTCCCTAAAATGTAGGCATATCCATCTGAAGCACCTGTTAGGGTCCCCCTGTAACCAGTGTCCTGTCCATTCCTTGGTTTCACTGCTGCTGGAGCTGTGACTGAAGCATCCATGCACAGACATCCCACCTCCTCCAGGAGAAGATAAAGTGATTGCACACAGAAGGGCACTTTGTGCTCTTAACCCTACCCACAGTCTATCATTTTCAGGTAGTTTTGGCTGCTCAATTGCCCAGTCATCATGAGCCTAACAAAGTGGCAGGGTACTTGTGTTCCCTAGGCAGAGCCAGATGTGCTCTCCTAGACCACTTGCTGTTCTCTATTTTGCTTTCTCAGTTGTTTTCATTTCACAGCTTTACTTTAAGTGTAATTGGGGTTTGCTCTCTTTCTGCTGGAACACCAAGGAATGGAAAAGACATAGCAAAACCAGAATGAAGTAGCTGTTCAGGAATGGGACTACAAAGTTCCTTTTAATTTTATTTTTTTTTCTGTTCTCTCCTAAAAGGGGTTCCTACCAGGTAAAGTTTCAAGAGCAAAAACACCAGCCTGCACAAAAGCAGTTAGGGCTACTCTGTGAAAATACATGCATCTTAGAAAATCTCATTTTAATGTATAGAGAAACTGTCATTTGAGCCATTTATAGACCCATGACTCTGGCTGTTTTGCTGTTGGCAGATCACTTACTCATGGTAGTTTTTTTGTGGAAAGATCAAAGATACAGTATTGCATGGCTGTGTCATGGTGTGGCACAGGTCTTGGAACAGGACCTGCAACCCTCACCTGGAGAAACAGCATTGCTGACAAAGGACAGCTGGTGGATTATCTGGCTGTAAAAAGTCTGTGCAGATTGCTACAGATAGGAAGGCTGTAGTTTCTGTGGCTTCAAACCTGCCTCATCTTTGGGCTAGCACAAATATTTGTGTAGTCAGGTGACAGGTGAGACTCTGGGAAACTCTGGAAAAATAGCCTTGCCAAAATAAATAAAAATATTTATTTTTAAGTCTTCTCAGGATTGCAGAATATTCACAGAAAAGCTTGTGTTAACACAAGGAAGCAGTGTGGAAACAATCAGCTGGGGAGAAAGGTAGGATGGCCTCTTTTGATGGCTGTGCTTGCTTTGGTAGGCTGCATGTGTCATCTGAAGTACAGCCAAAGGCTAGTCATCTGAAAATGTTTTTGAGTCACTGAACAGCCCAGCTTGATTCTCTCTCCTTTGGAAAAGACAACTTGGGCTATCAGTGCTGTTAAGGAATCTAAACTTTGCAATGTTTCCCCTCTCTAAATCCTTACTCTGGGAGGTAAATCTGGGGAGAAAACAATCAGACTGGGTGACATGCCATCACTGTTGGTTGTGTTAAAGTCCTTGCCAGCTTAGCACACAGAGAAACAGGTTCCTTGGGAGGTTGGGATTTACTAGGCCAGTGCAATTGAAATGGGAGCAGGTTTGTACACATCATGATTTGCTTTTGGCAGCTGCCTCTTAAGGCCATGAAATCTTGTTTCTCTTGCTGTAATGTTTAGGACAGGGTTGCATGCACATTTCTTCATTGAAGAGAAGGAACTGACACATAGTCTGCTCTGATGTCAAGGACTTTGTGAGATATTTGCAGGAAAACTATGACATTAACTGTGTCATTAACACAGAGGTACTGTAAATATGAATGGGTTGATGTTTGTCCACCAGAAAAAAATTGTTTCACAGGTACTGATGGGATAAAAGCTTATCTCTTCCTTTAGATGAGCAGGTAATTTTTCTTGCTTTGACTATAGAAGTACATGTTTACAGACAGCTCTTTAAAGTGTTACTTTTAAAGATTGCTCACCACCTCATCTGTCTGACCTGAGAGATTACCAGTATGGAAGAAAAAACACAGTGTTAGGAAGGTTTTACTGTATGACATTGTGACCAGACCTAAAGTTTCTGCTGATGTTAATCCTTGTTATCTTGTAATAAACATCAGCAATGAGCCAAGCAAAAAAAAATGGCTGACATTAACTGCAGCCAGTCTAACCTGATGGTCAGCAGTTTTGGCAGATCCCTGCAGAAAGATTGCCAGGGGTGTGGAGGGTGTGAAACAGCTGCCTGACACAGAGGCAATGTATGCAAACTGCAGTGGCAGCTGGAAAAGCCACTGCAGTGCAAGCACTGACAGTGTCCAAGACAGACCATAGACATTTAAAATGAATTAGTCTGGGATAAAGAGATAAAGAAGACCTTGTAAAATTACTTCAGAAGTCAGAGCAAACCATTCAAAGGGAAGCAGTACCTGCAAGGGGTGTAGTCTTAGCAGGAAAAAAAATCAAGGTCATTCTAACTTTGCAGCAAAGATTTTCTTGTTTCAAGAAAGGCAGCAAAATACTTTGTGTGTGAAGTATGTCAGAAAGGCTTTGACAAAAATTGTGAAAGGAAAAGGGTGTTTACCTTGAGCCACTGAATAGGGACAGGACTTACGAGGTCAGCATTCATTAGCTACATTTATGAAGGGAAAAGTGTGATCTGAAGTGACAGAGTTACACAATTTATCATCATCCACCTATTATTAATAGTGGCAACTCCTGTGCAAATTGGAGGGCATCGTGGCCAATGAAAAATAAAGGACACACAAATACAGTGAGACAACAGGCAGAAGTAAGTGTACCCACATAAGACTAAGATTGAGCTGTGTCCTCAGCTACCTGCTAATGAAAATTGATATTTAATATTCTAGTCCAATAGTGATTATTTCCCTGTTACCTTGAGAGTTTATGGTTTAATTGTCTGAATATATAAAAGCATGTAAATCTAAAGATAAGGCATGATTTGCCCTCAGGTCATCTCCCCAAACATATGTTCTCAGTAAAAAGCAAAAATTCAAACTAAGTTTATGTTTCAGAACCAGATTTGACATTTGATTCTTCGTCACAATCCAGCCATCAACCAAAGTATATGACCTTCAGTTGTCTTCAAAACAACCTGTTCAGGAACTTTACAGATTTCCAATGAACTTTAATGAAAAATTAAATACATATTCAACTGCTGCCAGATTAAGTGGTTGATGCTGAAGAGAGAAACTCACTCCTTCTTTCTTCTGAGGGAGGATGTATTTTCCTAGATGGGAATTTTCCAAGAGCTTTCTACTTCACACACAGGTGTGACATCTAAAGCCAGAAAAGTGCTGAGCTGGTGGATGTGGAAAAAAAAAGAAACATCCATCAGATGAGACACATGCATACTCTGAACCCATACTGGTTTCATGCTGGGTCAGTCACCATTAAGTACAACACCAGTTGCCTCATGCATATTCAGTAAAGCCTCTACTGTGTCCTCAAATCACTTGATAGTTTTGGGGTGCCTTTGCCTTAATTTGAAGTTCATTGGAAATAGGTCAGAAAAGGTGCTTTTGTTTGTGTGGTTACATGAAGAAATACTGTTACAGTGAGCTCATGAGCACTCTATTCCCCCTTCCCTGGGACCCTGTGACTCTGATCAAGATAACCCTGGACCCCTCCTCCTACCCCAACGGGGTTGGTGGAGAGCCAGGGAAGCCCACCCTGTCCAAAGTCTATATAGATCCCTGACATTTCCTGTTTGTCCTCTTTTGCCCCGCTCTCCACATGGACATCACAGAATAAAGAGAGCTGCACCAACATATCTCAGGGTAAGAGCCTCTTTTGGAAATCTTTACCACCTCCTGATATTCCTCCCCTCACAGCCTTGGATCTCTGGGCTAGCCTAGGATATTTAGGGAGCTGAGGGGGGGGGGGGGGGGGGGGGGGGGGGGGGAGGCGGGGGGGAACATCAAAATACAGCCCTAGCAAGTGTCACCCTGGTGCAGAACAGTGCAACAGGTTGTGTCTGAGAACCAGGCTGCAAAAGAGCACCATGAATGCTTCCCTGGAGAGGAGCACAGGGTAAGACAAAGCTATTTATTCAGTACAGAAAGACTCAGAGCAGGCTAAGCTGGATAAACTAGAAAATGTGGAATTATATAAAATTAGGTGTGTTAATCAAGAGCTAATTTCCTTCTCTGACTGACTCACAGATGTTCTGAGCCCCACAAAAAAGAGACAGGACTTTGTGAGGTAACAACAGCATTACAAAACCTGTGTTACTGTTTGTTGTGTTTTAGTATAATTCATGCATTTTATTTTTTGGAAAGCAGACCTAGAGAAAACAAAGTGTTGCTACACTAGAGAGTTAGCAGTTTCACTTAGTGACTGAGGTGACTGGTGCATGAGGCCAGTCTAAAGCTGCATAGAGAGATACTAGTGTGGAAGCTTTTATTAGTCTTTTCTGTTTGAATGCATGAATTTTCATGTAGAATAACAGGAAATTTCAGCACAGGAAAAGGAACTGGGCAACTGGTAATATGAGCTAATAGAACTGGAGAGGACCTCCAGTCATTTGGTGTTACAACTTTCCAGGATGAACTTTTTACTATAGTGTTAATAAACACTGTTTTAATACCAATCTGGTAAATTATCCTCATGCTTCTATTAGAAGACTATTCTGAAAGCTCAGACCTAGCACTGAACCCTCAAAACATCCAAGTGAAATTAATTTATAACAGGTTGATGCCTGTTTGATTTGCTGCCAGTACAGTCCAGTAGTTTTAACAGTGTTCTCCATTTGTAGCAGCTACCATTCTGCAATTTTCCTGAGGAGAAATCCTGCCCTCTTCTAGATTTCATTTTGCTAACTAGAGAAGCTATGTGCTTTCAATTTTTTTACTCATAGGCTGTTTGCAGTCATGTAAAATTGCAAGCAAAAATACAGTGGAAAAACTGAGAAAGAATTTCTCATTTCTATAAATTTCTAAGCAGTGAGAGATGAGTGAAAGGGGTTGCTTCAAAGGAAGTAAGAACAGAGTAGAAAAGAAAACAAAAATGTCTGGACAGAGTAGTATGAGGCAATATGCAGCTGATATATATGGCTAAACCTTGATATATAAACCATTCTTCATAAAATTGGTAGATGCAGAATTGTGAAGAACTGTTTCTTTTCATTGTTGAAGGAGTGATCTGCTGCTGCACCATTTTGAGAAAAGCAAATTTACAAATACTTGCTCAGAAGACTGCAGTGAAACAAAAAGATACAGGTAGAACTAGAAATAGCTGATGTTTCTTTGTAGAAAACTATTTCACTATCATTCCTGTATTCACATGTGCTGATGACACATTTGTGATTGCAGACCCTGCTGGAGGTGATGATGTCTTTTCTGATGTGATACCAGATTCATTTTTCATCCATAGAAAACCAGAAATGCTTTCTTGATTGCTTTCCATTGTTCAGAATCAGGAAACAAAATAGCAAGCTGATTTAGTACCAGTGCTTGTTGCGCTCTCCATGTTTGTACTGTGGCCAGATTACTCCACAGCAGGTCCCTCAAGTTTCTTTTCAAGATGTAATTTGGTGTAAGTGCATGAACTCGTGCATTTGGGCTGCCAGATCTGACAGTGATAAGTGGCAAAACTCTCTATGGCTCAAATTAAAAGCAGACAGGCTGGGGTATGGACTCAGACCCTTCTTGGTTTTCTGCATATCATGCTTCCAAAATTGTTGATGTGGTCCTGTACTTGAGCTGTACCCTCTCATCATGTCTTGTACTTGGATCAACAGGAAAGAGTTACCTGGGTTTGTTTTTTTTTTCATTGCTTGAAAACCTGAAGAGAATAGAGGAAAAGTTAGGTAGGTGATTTTTTTTGTTTGTTTTTTTTTTTTTGGAATGTGTTTTGATTAAGCAATAAAGGTTATAGAGGTCCTTCTAACCTTAAAATAAATGTCTGGGGGAAAATGCATTAAAAAAAATAAGGGGAGTCTTTAAAATATTTTTGAACAGAGATTAAAATTACCTAAAGTGCTTGCACAAATGCAAAATAAAAAATAAATCCATATTTGGGAGTAAATATCTCATGTAAATAGATCCATTTCACTCAGACTTAAATTTCTAATTTTTACACAGAAGTTAACTACCTGTTAAGCAAATTACATTTCCAGGCAGAAGGTGTGTCACAAATGTAAAACTAGCCACGTGCAATTTGCATTTTGAACAGGTAACATAAAAAGAAAAATTGCATTTCAATGGCTTATTCAACCTTTGTCACATCTTTTGTAGCTCTTTTGACAGCATCAATGTAATAACATTATTTTCTGTAAATGTGCTATTTTCCTCTGCAGTTATTATGAAGAGTTCACAAGAGAATAACAAAATTATCTGAATATGCCTTTTGCAGACAGTGTTTTATTCCACCACGAAGCTGCTCGCTGGGTATAGATGGAAAAGTATGAATTTTGCTCACAGTGAATATTGAGCTTCTGTGATTTACCACAAAACCCAGTAACTGCTTTTGTTTAACATATACTTAAATGCATGTCAAGCAGAGCAAAGAAAGCCATTCCAACCTTTCTGCTTTGAAGAACAATGAAAAATCCTTGACTATCCATATATGTGGAGAGGATTCCTAACCTGAACTCTTGGTTGAAGGAAATTGGTCATTTGGAGAAAACCAGGCTGCTGACAGGAAGAATGTCACACTAATCTGGCATTTACCTTTTATTTCAATTGCATTTGTCCGCTTATTCTCTTTACAGAATTCATAAATGTATGATCTTTATAAAATTTAATACCAATAATATTCTGATTGCCATTTATTTTAGTAAAAAAGGATAATAAAACTTGCACTAGGAGGATATTAAAAAGGATATTAGGAGATTATAGAATAATGATAAAGTAAAAGTTGCTGCTGCTCAGGCAGATATTAGCCATGCAAAGGAAATTGGAAGAGTCTCATTGAAGAAAAAAAAGAAAGGGGATAGTGGTGTAAAGAGATGGATTAAATTCAGCACAGCTGGCATCAGTTTTCAATGAAGATTGCAGCAGAGGCCTCTCTGACCTATAGAAATAAATAGTTGAGCATTGAACTGGGTAAAAAAGATTCTACAGGTTAAAAAAGAGGGAAATAGGATATTCTCCATCCCAGATCTCTGGCTCAAGGTGTCAAAGACTTAATTTTTTATTTTAAATGAGCACTGAATCAACATGCCATAAATACAATGACCATCAAAAAGCAAATTAATGGGGTTTTTTTAAGGAGAAATATTAAAAAACAAATTGCTTAAATATTGCATCCTGTCATCTGACCTTAGAATGCACAGAGTTCTGAAACCTGACAAAAATAAAATTAAAGCCTTGACCAATGGTATATGACAGACTGAATCAAGATACATGGTTTTTTTTAGAGATGAGAAAGTAGTACACTTTTCATCTACTTACACTTAGAGCACAGTATTTGATTTCTACCACCAGAAAAAAAAAAAAATCACTATTTAAATGGAAGGAGAAAAAAATAAAAAAAAAAAAAAAAAAAGGGCAGAAGGCAGATAAACTGCTCAAAGGGCACAGGGCAGTGGGCAGTCAGGAGACAGCCTGGCTGGGGAGGTAGAAAGGAGCAGGTTTGGGGATGGTGTGTGTGATTGTGCCAATGAGCTGCTATCACATAACTTGGCAATTACTGCTAAGCATTCGGTACTGCATGGCACAGACTGTATTTGTGTATTCCAGGTGCTCAGCACACAGAGATGCAGTGGCATGTGTGGCTTCTCTGGTGGCAGTGCCACGACTGGCCACATGGATGTTCTTCACGAAAGCCACACAACTAAGTGGGACCTACTGGCTGAGTCCAGAGCAATCTCTTAAACTCAGAGCTACCTCTTGAGCTCCATGGAGAAGCTGAGGAATGTCTTGAGACAGGTGAGACACAAGTGAATCTGAAACAGAATAGGCCAGCACTGTCACCAGAACATGGAGTTAGATGGATTGCAGGGTACACATTGAGCATTTGAAGAAGTCTTTGTCTGTGCTGCTCAGTTATTGGCATCTTTGTGTGACTGGTGTCCCTTAACAAAATGAGATGAGCATCTCGATGTTGTCCCTTTTCCACACACTACAACAAAGCATGAGATTTTTACTAATTACTTTACTTGGCTGAACATGATGATTCCAGTGAATGGCAAATAGACAGAACATAACAAAGAAAGGGTTCTGTAAAGCTATCAGCGCTGAGCTTGAATTTTAAGAAATGTAAAAACAAGGAAAGGTGGGCTATTAATTCCATCTAAATGACTGGCCTGATTTCTATTCTAAAAATCTATTTTAACTCTGTGTAATCACAATATTGCATTTATTAGCTCACTGAAATGCAATCATATTAGTGGTTCAAAAGGTTGCATCTAATCTAGTTGATTATGCTAGTGCATCTCTGAGTAGTTAGTTCTCTACTCCTGTGGCTCCTAAGGAACTGAGTGTGCATTAAATCTCACCAAATAAAATTTACTACCTAGCTTATTCTTATTTGTTCTAGTATTCTGCACACGCTAGTTTGTCCTTTAGTTGAAGTCTTATGTAAACTTTCTATTGCTAAAAAGCCACCAAACTCCTTTTAGCATATGCTTTCTGTATGTCAGCATGAATTTTCAGTCTTCATAATTAACAACAAATAAACAGGTTTTCTTCCCATGGATACCAGTGTAGTTTGTCTCTGCACTAACTCTTGATTCCCTGATCGATGAAGAGTGCCTGACTTAGTCAGTAATGTCACAGATCTGTTTTCAAAAATTATAGCTGCAAGACAGGCTTTGCAGTG